CCATAATGATTCTATGATTCTGTTTACACATAACCTCTTTCTCTGAGCCATATGCAGGTTTTAGAGAGCAAGGAAATCTATCCTGCCTTCAGAAAGTGCTGTGGATTTTCATGTCCCCCTGTGTGCGTGCCACAGGGCTTTGGTGGTTTGAGGTTGCTCCTTTCCCTCAGTGGCTTTTGCCCTGCTCTGTGCTGGTCCCTGCTGTGGGCCACGGCCTTTCTGCCACTTGGCTGTGTGCATTTAAGGTCATCTAAACAAGACTGAGCCACAGAGTAGTCTAGACTCCCAGGGAAATTCCCCTGAGTCTAATATAACTCGTTTGCTGGATTGCTATTTCTGGGGGTTAAGCCAGGACCATTGAGTCCAAAAGTCCCAGTTTAGGCACCCTGGCTAAAATACCGTAGCTGTGTGTGCTCCAGTGGGGAGCAGAGCTGAAGTGAGTGTTGAGAAAGCCACGCATTGTTTGGGGATTGCATGCACACATCAGCTTGATATCCTAGACTGACAAGGATGAACAAGAAGTTTGGACCCTGCAGTACCAGAGTAGTTTGTATGCTGGCCAAAAACCTTCTCCCGTTCCTTCTGTAGCAGTCATTGATCTTGATGGATCTACCCTCGTATCTTCCCTCGTATCTTCCCACGCCCTGCTGTGGGACAGCTGCTGCCATTTCTAAAAGAGGAAAAATCAAAAGGTTTTTCTCTTCCCTCTTAGAACCTCGTGGTGGCGGTGAGTGCAGAAGGCTGGTTTCATCTTTTTGACCTGACTTCCACTTCAAAACACCCAGATGTTTCAGGCCACCATGAGTTGGCGCCATCAGAAGAGCAGAAGCCAGTGTTCAAGCAGCACATTCCTGCCAACACCAAGGTCATGCTGATCAATGACATTGGTGAGCTGGGAAGCTGGTGTGGGAGTGCAGGGTGAGGGAGTTTGTGGGTATGAGGTGGTGGAGGAGAGACAGAGAGAGAGAGAGAGAGAGAGGGACTTGCAGAAGGAAATTACTGTCTTGCTGAAACAGGTGCTCTAACAAACCATAGCCAAGTCATGGAGGAGAGAAGCAAGAACTTCAGGCATTTTCCTGAAGTGCAAGTTCTCATTACAGGATAGGGATGCTACCTGATGGAAACCAGCACAGTGGTTTCTGAATGCTGGGGCTCTTGGGGCTATGAAAGCCTGAGAGAGCCCATCTCCTTGTATTCCCTGCAGATGGAGATGGGAAGTGCGAATTGGTGGTGGGTTACACTGACAGGGTGGTACGTGCCTTCCGCTGGGAGGACTTGTCAGAGAATTCGGACCATGTCTCTGGGCAGCTGCTCCTGTTGAAGAAATGGCTGCTAGAAGGTCAGGTAAGGAACTGGGATGTTCAGAGCAGAACTTATCATATGGTCTTCAAGAGGTGGCTTTCCCAAGGGAAGAAGCACAAAATCTCAGTCCTATGAACAAAGCAATGGTTGTGTTGATGGCTTGAAAGGAGAGTTGCCCAGTGGTTGTCGTGTACGTGTGGAGCAACTGGGGGTTTGGTCTCGGAAACAGTCAGCTGCTCTCACCCAACTGGAAAGCATTAGTGAGAGATCCTAGTGTTGCTCTTAAGTGGCTTTTGGTAGGGAGTCGTAGCCTTCTACTGTAACTCGGACATTTTGCTTCTAGCTGAATTTGTTCAGCTCCTGCTCAGCTCTGTCAGAAGATCTGACATATTGAAGTTTAAATACAAGGAGCACAGTGAACCCTTCTGAGATGTTTGAAGTTCTCAGTTTGACTCTATCCATGTTTTTCCTCTGCCAGTATAGGTGGACAGCCTCTCTGTGAACCCAGGCCCGGATGGCTCACCGGAGATGATGGTGTCTCAGCCAGGCTGCGGTTATGCCATTCTGCTGTGCACCTGGGACTCTGAGCAGCAGGCCACAGCAGAGGGAAGAGACAACTCTGTGCCAAGCAGGTGAAGAGCATTACCTCATGGGGTAGATGAGGAGATTCCGCTGTAGATGTCCATCACAAGGGGACACCACCACACCACCTTTCTGAGGGGGGGGCAGGGGGTGTTGTCATTTGTCCTTGCTTCAGTGACCTGCTGGGAGTTCATGACTGCACCCAAGCTTCCATAAACACTCTTCATGTATTCATCTTTGTGATAGAGACTACTGCTTTCCTTGTTATCCCACTCTTCTCCTTGGGTTGGGCAAGGAGAGCGGCAAAACCAGCTCACTGAGGGGGACAGTACTGGGGGCTAAGGCAGGGAAATGAGTGACCTAGATCTCCAAAGAGTAGTAGGCAATCTGGTGATCTATCCAGTGGTGGGAAGGGTGGCATCCGAAAGGCTGGGCCAAGCCCAGTTAGTCTGAAGCCCAGTATGACACTTGAGGTTCACCCACTCGTTTCTTCCAGGTGAGGTAGTTGGAGGTTTTCCTAATGAGACCCCTGGCAGCCAGTGCTGTAAATCACAACCGGAGCAATCAAGATGAGGTTATTGTCCTTGGCACTGGAGGGACCCATGCGGGGAATTCAGGTGCTTCTGTGGTGTTCCGTGAGACTTCAGGGCAAACCCGGAAAACTGCAGCAGGAGGAGGAGCTAGGCAAGTCTCCTTGACGTCTTGGAGACCTTAGTCTGACGGTACCCTCCTAGCCAGAAGCCAGGCCCAGGCATCATCTCTGACCAGCCTGTTCAACCCTGGGCAGACGTTTCCTGAGTGAAAAGTAGCCAGGCTTGCGTGACAGTAATGATAAGAATTGTCTTTTTTTCCTTCATTGGAATACATGTTTTACTGGCTTTTTTATTTCTTTTTGGGGTTTTTTGAGCTCTTTTCAGTTTTCTGATGCATCAAATTGTTCTGTTTTCATTTTTTAAGCATTAGCGAGTTCCTTTCATACCTGGGGTGGGATGGATTCTTTTCCTTGGTCTTTACCATTAAAGGGCTAACCTATGCACAAACTCTTATCAGTCTCTGGATTGGTAGAGCTTTGGAGTATACTGCTCTTGAGGTTGTTCTGGTACAGTCCCAGGCATGGTTCCCTAACCTTTCCCTGATGTCTCTCTCTCTTTTCCCTAGCGAGGCCCCTATTCGAGATGTTATTCTACACCAAACATCTGGACGGATTCACAACAAGAATGTTTCTACTCATCTAATTGGTAGCATTGGCCGAGGTGAGAGATTAAGAGCTTGGGGTCTCCGGCCCAATAGTTGCCCTGATAGTTTTTCAATACGTCAGTCCAGCATGAAATCAGATTTCCCGGGGTTGAAAGATAACAGTGGAGGCAGCTGCAAGAACAGCTTCTGTTAGCCAGCTCCCAAAGACAGACAGCTGGATATTTGCATTTGAACTTTATATAGCCTTTGTCCTTCCCTAGGCAGCTCTTACTCTTCACTTGGCACAACAGTTTCTCTGCAGCCTCCACTGGCCTGCATTTAGTCATCCTGAATGGCCACCATGCCTTGCTCCTACAGATGTCCTTGATCTTTGCTTTTGCACGGCTGCAGCTTATGATCTCTTCTTACTCCCTAGGTGCATCTCTTCCTTTCCACAGCCTCATCTTTGTTCTTGCTTTTGTGCTTTTTCAGCATTTTCTTCCCGATACCTGGCAGCTATATCCTGCTCTTCCTTCACCTATGCAGTCCCAACCCCTCCAGAGTTGCTTCCATATTTCATTTATATCAGTGTCCTCTGTCTCCTTCCAATGTCTTCTGTTCAGCTGTTGTATCTAAGGTCTCCACAGCTGCTGGCTTCTCTCAGCCCTGACACACTGCTGTTGTGTCCAGACTTTTCTTGCACGTTGCCAGTGCTTCCCTTGTGTAACTTCTTTGTGCCCTGACCTTTGAACCCTGTTTTGGTACCTGTGGAGAATAAGTAGCTTTCACTCCACCTTGGAGACTGTGGGTGTAAGATAGGAAGGCAGAAAATTCCCAATGCAGATCACTTTCTCTTGTCTGCAGCTGGCTGGAATCCAGCTGCATTTGCTTTATCCAATTATTACCCCCTGAAGTGCTGTCTGAGAACGATTTAGACTGTCCAGTGTAATTAGAGCTGGGGGAGAAGAGCAATCCACTGAAATCCCTTCTCTTCCCCAGAGTACCCTTCCTCCCCGGTTCCTAAGCTTGTCCTGTTTTTAGCATCTCAGATGCTGCTATGAGCAACGCGGTCAACAGAGCGTGAAACCGATTATTTCGCTGCATACAAAGCCTTGCGTCTAATAAGAGATGTCTGTGAAAAATGAAGGCACACAGAATAAGGGATGAAGAGAAGGTTGGGAAAAACCCACTGATGCTGGACCATCAGTAGTGAAACAGCTGAAGATACTGACCAATTTGTAAGGGCAACACCGCAGATCTTTTGGATCGGAGCCTGTCTGGGTGAATGTCAGCACTCAACCAGCTGACTGCATTAAGCTGATCTGTGGAAATAGGGTAGTCTGTGTCCTGGGAGTGTGCAGTGTGTTGTAGCTTGGAGGTGTCTAGGCGGTAGGCTTGCTACCTCATTCTGGGGAAACTGCCTGTTTGCTTTCAGCTCTGCTGGCTTGTCCCTGACTGCCAGTTTTCCTGGCTTCCTGCAGACCTCAGGGAGCCGGTCTGTCTCCTACATTGTCACTGAAAGGATTAAATGGAGCTGTAGTTGAATACAGCTCCAGTCCTCCCCCCGCCCCAAGTCTGATAACGCTTTCAAAACCTGACTCTGCACGACTTTTCTGACTGGTAGCTAGGTAGAGAGTACTGAAGGGCTGAAGCAGCCCAGTGGTCAGGGGAGTCTCCTCATCAGATTTAACTAGTCACGTTTGTCAGTGCTGTCCTGCACACAACTGTGATGTACAGGCTTTGGAGAGGATCCTGCTTGCAGGAAGTTCACAGTTGTATAAGCATAGCCCAGGAAAGCCAGGGCTGAGTGTGTAGATGAGCATGAAGGCACATCTCTAATCTGCTCGTAAAGCAAGGGCTCTCTAGCATCTGACCAGTGTTGGCTAGGAGAGGATCACAGCTTCTGTGCAGTTTTGCTGTAGCAAAAAGTAGAGTTAGTAGCACTGTACAGTTTAGCTGTAGTGAAAAGTTGGTAGGATGATCTCCGCAGCCTCATTCAGGAGTTGCCATGGAGGTGCTTTGGTGCTAATGTGACTGATGCTTTGTCCTTCTGGCGGGACCTCTCTTTTTAACCCTGTACCTTCCCAGAACAGCCAAAGGCCATATTCCTGTCCTTGAGAGAAATGGTGAGGGTACAGTTGCAATATTCTTGTTTGGCTTCAGCTGTTCTTCCCTTTGTCCCTTGCAATGGTCCTGCCTGTCGTTTTGCATTTCTGGAGCCTGGAGAGGATGTGATGCAGGCTGCTAAAATGGGAAATGTTATGGTCCTGCAAGTGGTGGTACAGACAGACTCCTAGGAGCAGCCAGCAGAGCCGGACATGCCTGTCTCAGTGCCAGCCAAAGGTCTTGGGTTTTGAGATGCCAGCGCCCTCGTGCCCTCAATAAAAGCCAGCATGAAGTACAATTGGTTGCAAGAATCTGCAGATACCTGCTAAGCAAAGTGTCAAGACTGGGCAAAAAAGGAGGCAGGATGGATCAGCTTGGTTTGGATCTCTTTTTTTTCGGGAGAGGGAGGGTACAACGCTCATAAAAGGGCATCAATTCCTGTAATTGTCTTCTGTACTTACAGGCTGCTCCAGTGAGAATGGTGGCTCAGGTCTCTTTGCCCTCTGTACTCTGGATGGTAAGTCGTACCGCTGTCCTAGAAGAAAAGCTTGTGGGGTGGCCGAGGCCTGTCACTAACTCAAAGCAGGGAACCAGGGGCTCAGTGCTTTTGGTTTTGAAAGAAGGGAGAGCTGGGCTTCAGAAAGACTTCCTGCGTCAGGCAAGAGAATTTGACTCAAAGGCTCCTTCTGCTGGCATATTTTATATGAAGGGATGAAAGCTAAGACAGAAATCGAGGTCAGAGTTGTCACTGTGAGCAGAGTGTGTCACTGTGACTGTCACCTGGTCACACACGGACCAGGTGTTTGATTACATGCCTGTATCTGAGGATATGATGAAACATATTAAAGCTGAGCCTGTCTTTCTGTTCCGTACTGAATTGGGTCTGATATTGCACAGGCTTGCTTTCTCCAGGAAACCTGTTGTGATTTCTGTCTGTTACTAATATCTACCTTTCTCTCTCCCCTGGTACAGTATATTCATGTGTGGATTTCAAAGCATTTTAGAAATATTAATTACTTATGTGGTCCCATGGCCTATGGGGGTAGAAGTATTAAAGCCACGCTGCAGCAAGCAGCCAGGAGAATGAAGAAGCTGGGTCATTGGCCCAAAGGCACACTGAAAGCTTCGGACGGAGAGTGAGACTAGAACTTTCATCTGACTCCTCAGTGGCCTGCATATGCAATGGTCAAACAGGCATTTGAGATACCAGTTCAACAGTGCCATTCACGTAAACAGGAGCCTCTACATCACAGCAGAGATGTGTCCTTGTACTTGACGGGATTTGGGTTGTTTCCAAAAGCAGTAAAGGAGATGGTTGCTGGAACTTGAGTATTGGTAGAGAGGAGCTGGCCTCACACTGGAGGCCTCACAGGAGCTGGCCTGGAGCCACGTTGTTCTGCTGTGCCCCTGACTGAGAAGTGATAGGACAGGCTGCAACAGGACTGCATCTAATGAGCTGAACGCAGGGTTTCTGTCCAAAAACTGACAGTGTGGAGACAAGACGCTGTGCTTCTCTTCCTAGATACGCAGCCTGGGCTGTTTGGGCCAGATGGCCACCTGCCCAGTGATGTCCTGCTAGGGAATTTTTTATTATTCTTTGGGCCTGAAGTCAAGCTTCTGCATCTCGCAAAGCTTCCTGCCTCCTTATGGTTCACTCACGAGCCTTACTGAAACTGGAAGGCACTCTGAGGATAGATTAATGTTTCTGTTCTGCTCTGTCATGACCACACTGTGCCCCCCGCAGCCCCCCGAGTGCTATCACAGTATCTCTGGATGGTAGAAAAATGGTCTGTGAGGGAAGTGTCCAGTATGGTTTTAGCAGCCAAGAGGCCATGCCCATGCTATTAGCCAGCCAGCTCTTGGCTGGTACCTGGCAACATGCTGTCCTGAGATCACATCATCTGTGGGACATGATGAGAAGCTTCTAGTTTACTCATTGTCTCACGTGAGATCTGTTGATGTACTGTACCTTGGGAGCCTGTTTGGGGCAGTTTTCTTCTTTTCTTAGAACACACTCCAATTAGCAGGACTGTTGCCATTTTTCCCCTCTTGTTTCCAGTTGCTGATGACAAGATAATGGACTGCTGTCCTTCCCAGAACTGAGACTGTGCTATCTGTTATCAACCACAGCCTGTACCATGGGCCTAACCCTCTGCCTGCAGAGCCCACAGCCTGTACCATGGGCCTAACCCTCTTCCTGCACACTCTTAATATTGAAGGAGTGTGCAGGGCCCAGTGTTAGCAAATTTCTGCTCCCTTTTAATATTTTCAAGACAACTTTTTTTTTTTTTTCCCCTTCAGGGACATTGAAACTCATGGAGGGAGCAGACAAGCTGCTCTGGTCTGTGCAGGTTGATCACCAGCTCTTTGCTCTGGAAAAGCTGGATGTTACTGTGAGTGTGAATCGGGCTGGGAGGGATGAAGACAAAAACTTAGCATGGCTTTGTGTATATGAATTTAGGAAGGGCAGAGGGAGTATGACTCAGCTGAAAAGGCTGGGATTGTCTCAGGATGACACACAGAGTGCTCCGACTGCTGGTGCATTTTGCATTCATGTCAGTCTGTCCTCCTGCAAGAGGCTGAGCTGTGCCTGCCTGTTTGACCTGGTGAGACCAGCATCCTGCTATGAACTTTTTTGTCCCCCAGCTGCTCTTTTATCTTATTGCAAAGTTGAATGATTTTGCACCCTGCTAATACCCCGATTGTCTACCAGCTCTGATGACACATAAGGATTATGATAGAGAGAGATGGTCTCCAAGTGCAAAAAGACTGGACAAGTGTAAAACATCTGGATGAGATGTCCAAAAGTGACATCTTGTTCAGACATTAGTGTTCTGTCTCTGAACAAGCAGGAAGGATTCTGGACTGCCTCTGGGATTAGCTGATGTCCATGCTAATATGCGATCTTACGGTTCCTGCAGGGCAACGGGCACGAGGAGGTGATTGCCTGCGCGTGGGATGGTCAGACATACATCATTGACCACAATCGGACTGTTGCCAGATTTCAAGCAGATGAGAATGTCAGTGCATTCTGTGCAGGTGGGGAGCCTGACTGCAAAGCCAACCCTCACAGCATTTCTCCCTCAAAGCTACTGCTCCCCTCTGGGAGACCTGGAATGCTTTGTCTGTCTGCAGTTGGGAATAATTTCCCTGCGTGTATACTGCAGAAGGCCCAGCTAGTCTTTCCTCTGGGGGCATCTGGGAAAAGTAGGGGTGAGAGGAGGTGATGCTGAGGTTTGTCTGTGATGGTTTTGGGGTTTTTTTCCTGTCCTTTTTGGGAGTGCTACAGCAGTCTCTTGTCTTCCCCACTGCATTTTTAATTTGCAGACTTCTAAGCTGTTCTCAAGTGGAGATAAGGAGCCCCACGGAACCAGACTGAGTCTTAGCTTTGCTGAGTCCCCGCTCTCATACCTGCAAGAAGCAGCTTGCAAATCCCCAAGCTCCATGCAGTTTAGAGACACTTTCTTGGATTGTCTCAAAGGGACTTCATGTACCCAAGTTCATGTCTGTGCCCTTCACCCCAGGTGCTCGCTGCTATCTGCTAACAGCTTTGGTACCTCATTGTGAAAAGTTACCTATTTGCTTTCTCTGTCCTTTTGGATGTAGTCAGGTCTCCACATTTTTGCTTTCTGCAGGCCTCTATGCATGCAAAGGAGGAAGGAACAGCCCCTGCCTGGTTTATGTCAGCTTCAATCAGAAGATCTACATCTACTGGGATGTGCAGCTGGAGAGAATGGAGTCCACCAACCTGCTGAAAATCCTGGATTGTGACCCAGAGTTTGGAAGTCTTCTGCAGCAGCTGGGTGTGGGTGAGTGTGGAAAGGGTGAAGGATGTACAGGAAAAAAAGAGAGGAAGGGCTGCTGACAGGTGTTGTGCTTGGAACTATAGTTCCAGGTACCTCTTGAGGAAGAGGCTCTTTCACGCTGCCTGTTGAGAATCCCTAACAACTGTCTGGTTTTTTGTTTTTTTTCTGTAGAAAGAGGCGACGTTTCTGCTGTCAAAAATCTGATTCACAAAACACTGTATTTTCCTGAGAAACAGCAGCAGAGCAGCACCTCACAGTGTCAGGACCCTGCTGGAACAGACTCCTCTGCCCACTACACTGTCGTCCAGGATCCCTTATAACAAGTCACATGGACTTTAATACCAGCACAAACTCTTCTCCGACTAGAATCAGGCATCTAATGAAGATGAGACTGTTCTTTTCCTATCTCTTATCAAAGCTTCCAGAGAGCAAAGGGTGTAACAGGCTGGGTTCTGTGGAGGGATGTGCTTGGCTGTAGGCTTGAGCGGAGGTGGTGGGTTGATTTGCTTTTAGCTGAGGAAGCTACCAGAACAGCAGGAGTCCAGCGTCCTGCTCATTGGCCTTCCTTTGCCAGTTTCCATGTTCTCCGCTAGCTAAAGCGCTTTACAGGTGACTGTGAAGGAGCACTGAGGACATAGATGGAGAGAACAGCTGAGCTCAGTCTCTGTTTTGACCCGTTCTTACGACTGCTGTAGTGATCAATTCTGAGTTCTTAGCAGGATCACAGTGCAGGAACTGCAGATGGAGGAATTGAGTTAGGGAGCAGGCAAGGGCCTTGTCTCCCATTTAGGTGTGTTTTTTAAAGTAGACCCAGGCATTGTTTGCCTTTCCTCTGCTGCTGCTCTTCTACCACGCAGTTGCTCACAAACCGTCTCCTGTTCTGAGGAGCTGGAGACATGCAAGAGAAGAACCACAGCTTGCACTAATAAGGTGTTGAGAGGTAACAGCTCCAGCGAGCCCCAGCTGTGCTCAAAAGGCATTGCTTGTCTCCATCTTCTTGGGCATGGTGATCCCAGGGATGGCTGTGACTTAGCAAAGCGGCTGTGAACTGGGCAGTAAGGGGAATCTGTCTTCACCGTGGATCTGTGGTGCTGTGACAGCTTGGCCATTCCATAATAAGCAGTGGAAATGCCACACTTCCCTCTTGTTGTGGAGAGCGCTGTGCTATTGTGAGTCCTACAAAGCTGAAAGAGGTGGAGGTGACTGGAGATGACGTTCTGCTTGCTGGTGTGCGGAGCCATTGCTCACCCAGGCTGCTCATGTGCCAGGGCCGAGGCAGGAACCTTTCCACATGCTGCTGATGTTCTGCTTTTCCCCATCTCAGCTGGCCCCTTCCCTAATGCAGCTTATTAGGATAGGAGCAGTAAGCTCACCTGCTGTTTTGCAACTATTCTCTCACTTGTGTGATATTTTATTGGACATGCATAATGGATGGAGCTGTCCCTTCACCCTTACGGCAGCCTGAGTCAGAGCAAATATAATTCCATGACCTCTCTTTAGCAGATGGTAACATTTGAAGATCCTGCAGGCTGTTGAAAACCTGCTGTGCTACACGCTGCAGAACATCTGAGGGCAGCCCTAACTGGGAGAAGGAACTTTGTATAGAGGAAAGGAGTGTCTTGCCCTTGGGTCAAAAGGATTGCTGTTGAAGTAGCCCGATGCGGTAGAAGGGCAGGATCTTTACATAATAAGCCTTGGCATTTCTTGCAGTCTCCATCCGTAGATTTATATAAGCTTTATGGAGGACAGCTTCTGTCCTCTGCATTTGATAGCTGTGAAAGTTGAAGCATGGAGCAGTGAAATGGCATGACCTCTGTACCAGCTAGCTTGCTTCTCGGACCACTCTGTCTCCTGACTCTGTAACTACAGTGGAAGTTTCCATTTTAACGACCTCGCTGAGAAGCTTTTTTAAATGTTCCCCTGTCAGACTAAGTGCTTGTGTACAACTGGGCCGTTCAGGCAGGAGCTCTCGAGCCATAATAGTGCTTTAGTAACAGTGGTGTTCAGAGCAGCAAGGCTGGAGTTTGTCGGCTATAGAGAGCTGATAGTGCAGGGCCCATCCACTGATGGTCTAAAGTTGTCTTGAAGCTTGTCAGCTCTGGACTGTAACCTCAAGAAATTGTCCGCTGTCATGATGCTGCGATGTACAGCTACCCATTCCAGTGGGCAATCACCGTTGCTTCTGGCAAATGGGTCGGTGTGACCCCTTGGGCTTTCATCAGTCTCAAGAGTCCTTTCCTAATGAGACTGTGTCTTGTGGAAACTATTAACTAGATCGCAGTGTATTGGTTCTTGCCACTTCCAGGTTTCTGTTTCCCAAAAACTAAAGATCTTTTAGATCAGCAAAACAAGTAAGGATTCTCCCTTCTGGTGAAGCAGTAGCAGTTGCTACTCCTGTCTCTTCCCCTCGGGGCCCAGCTGAGTTGGGGAGAAGCAGATGTCCCTACAGGTGGGGTCAACAGTTTGGTTTCACTCTATTCTGGGATACTTTCCGCCTCGCCTTGTTGCTAGCTGATTTTAATCTTGCATTTCAAAATTAGTGGGACTGACACAAAGAGGGACCACAGCGGAGCAGGACTCTGCAGAGCAGTTTTCAGAAGCGTACAACAGAAAGGACATTGTAGCAATGTCCCTAAACAGGCCTCTGTCTTGGCATATGCTGTTCTTCCATCCTGAACACAGACTGCTGCTCTTCCTCTGCTTAAGGTTGTGTATTTTCTTGTCCTGCTCCCCCTCCCCTAATTCTGTGGCTTCTGCCTCCCCCACCAGGGACAGAACAGGGTGGTTACAAGCACCAGAAAATAGTAATGCCTGAATCTTCAGTCATGGCTTGCACCGCCTGGCATGTGTACTGTTGCACAGATGATGGGCTCTTCTGTTGTGTGTGCTTTGACAAAAACAGATGGAATCATAGAATCGTTTAGGTTGGAAAGGACCTTTAGGATCATCGAGTCCAACCATAAACGTAGCATGGCCAAGACCACCACTAAACCGTGTCCATAAGCACCACATCTACAATGTGGTGTCCTACCACAATGTGTGCCTGCCCTGGCCCTTCTCGGCACTGCTTGGCTTTGGTGGGGCAAGTGTTCTCCACAGAAGTACTCCCTCCGTCTTGCTCCACTGCTGGGACCCCAGAGGTTCCTGCAGCAATTGCCTGCGGCATTTTATTTGCTTAAGAGTTGGGCCAGGCTGAGCTAATCTGGTAGCTGGGTCTTACAGGCTATTGCAGTGCGGCTGTATTGGAATTCCTTCTTGAGGCCTGACAGGGAAACAGGGTTGTCCACACTCGTAACAGAGAACAACTCACTCCTGTCTGTCCATGCCAAATATAAACCTTTATTAGCAACACAAGCGCAAGGGTGATACAAACGGTTGTGTGACTGAAACTGTTTTATGCAAAACAAACTTTGCTGTACAGGTCAAATGATTTCCAAGGAAGTAAGGTCAAATTGATCCACTGTTGGGACTGCTAATTGTTGAGAAGAAACAGGAAAAGGTTAATGGGGGAGAGGTGACATTTTTCTAAGGACCATCTTTAAAAGAAAAGGGTGAAAACAATGCAAATGTTGGACAGGGGAACCTGTGCAACCCGGCCCTCTCCTCTTGTTGGCCTGAGGATAACATTGCTGTGTGCTGTGCAAGCCCAGGCATGCTGTGTTGTGGAAAGCAGGGCTGAGAAGATAGGGATGCTGCAGATCATCTGCTCCCCAAAGCTCTTAAGCTCTTAAAACCATTTGAGGGGGAAAATACTGATGTTTGAGGGTTTCCCCTGGCAGTTTTATGTTGCTTACACCACATGGTGGCTTGCAGGTGCATTTTGCTCCTGTGCCCCTTGTGCCCAAAGGAAAATGAAAACTGTCTGGAGAAAAATTAATTGGAACTTCTGTACTCTTCCTTGGCCAAAAGATGGCTTTTCTTCTCTTTTCCTGCCCTGAACTCCAAAGTGATAATTAATAGACTGGCTGCAGCCAATACTTGCTGAAATCAATGCTTTGGGCTACTTCCACTGGCAACTATTTTCTGTGAAGCGTACATCTACTCAGAGAAGGAGCCACGTAGGCTCTGTCTCCGGCCTGGTGGAGCTACCTTATAGTTTAATTGTAACTCATTGCCTCTTTGTCCTTGCCAGCCAACACAAGCCCCAGAGTTGGAATTGGAAGTTGTTCCTTCTCAGGCAGCAGGAAATGTTGTTTGCTGCATCCTACTCAGTAGCCGATTGGCATACGCGCTGCTGCCAGGAAGATTTTTGACAGGGCAGGATTTGGAAGATGCATTTGTGTGTCCCAGTGCCAGCACACAGCAAGTGAGGAATTCCAACAGCATTCTCAGACGCTGGGGGCATTTGCAGAGAAATGATTCATGGCTTTGGTTGTGATGCTGAATTTAGTAGCAAGAAAATCAAGGGAGGGGGTTGCTTTATTTTCCTGAGAATTAATAAACCCGTTGGCTGTCCCTGACCTCATTTTTATGATGTCTTTGCTGAATGTAGTTATTTCTATGATTCTTCTGGAGTCCCTTGAAAGGAGGACTGACGGCAAGCGTATGTAGGTGGCTCAGTGGTCTTTCGTTCCGTAACTCACCCACTAGTAGTGAAAGAAGGGGCAGGCCTCTAGGAATATGGATGGCTGGAGCTCCCATTCCATTCAAAGCCAAGTGACCCCAAGTTCCTGGAAATGGTCCTGATTATGGCTTCGGCAGAGCGCATGCTCTCAGGATAGGTTTGCATAGGCCTTGGAAAGGGCTTCAGAAGTCCATCTCCCCATCCCGGGGCAGGTTCAGCCGTACGTGTATCACAGCTGCCATCTAACGCTTGCTTCTCCCTCCAAAGGCTTGCTGTGACGGACACGTCCCTACAGGCTGCTTCACAACTGTCACATCCACTCTACCGGAAAGTAGCCCTCGTAGCAGCTGACCACCAAGGCAGTTCAGAGGGATTATCCCTAAAATAGTAACTTTCTGTTGTCTACATTGAAGGGACCTCCTCATCATGAGGAGACTCCAGTGCTGGACACATACAGGGTGTGCCTATGTCCTGCTCTGAGGTGGCAGTTAGTACTAAATTTCTACTTTCCGTATGAAAGTATTAGCATTTTCTGATCTCCAGTGGAAAAGATAGCTCCTTCCTTCCCCTTGTCCCCCAAAAGCAACAGAGATGACTGGAATGAGGGGTAGGGAAGTGTGTCGGTATAACAGGCTTTTCCAAAAGAAACTACAATTGAGACAGTCTTAGCCTTGCCAACCTGCTTAAAAATTACTCACTGGGCTCCCTAACAGAGGAAGACTTTTAAAAATTACCATGTTTGTAGATGGGGTTGAG